GCCTGCCTGGGCAAGGCAGAAGGCACCCCAAAAAAAGCCACCTTTCGCACCCAGTGCGGCTCAGACCATTGTGCGCTGCTGTGAATGAGGCCTGTTTGTCTGCGGAAAGAGGCGAGGCGCTCCAGGTAAGTTGATACAAAAGGCAGGGACCACCCCTGAAATGGGAGGGATGCTGCAGGCTGGGCAGGGCACGCCTTTCCGGCAGCCTGGGAGGGCTCTCTGCTTTCCGTTGGTCTGGCCCCATACATCCGTCCTGGGAAACTACCCTGAAGCTCATCGCCTGTCGCTCCAAAGGCAGAGAGTATCACCTTCAGCTGGCTGCCTGCAGCATGAACGCAAGCCAGCCACACACACCCACAGAAGACAAAACCCCACCAAAACACCGCCGCACCAAGCATAAAGTTGACATGAAAGAGAGGAAGGACTATGGCACATGGTGAAAGTGGGCTACTAGCATATACCTGGGAAGTCCTTGGGTATTATAGGGTAACATCCCATCATTCAGTAAGTTTCATAACACAGGGTATTTGCTCAGCCTCACAAGTACATTATTTTGGGTAACAATTCTAGCCACACTGGATTTGGCCGGGTGCCTTTCAAAAGGAAAAGCCCCAAGGAAACCCTGGCAGCTTTTTATAGGTAGAAACAATTCCTCAGACTTACTGAGCAAAGCTCTTGCCTTTGATGGGGGAGGAACACACTATCACAAGCCTTATCTTGTGGCCTCAAGACAATACTGATGTCCTGATTCATGCTAACCTTCAGTAACTTTCCTCAAGATTAAAGGTGACAAACTACAGCATCTCTACTGAGCTCTAAAAGAGGATATCTGAACAAGGCAAACAAAAACAAGCAGTGAACCAGTGGAGATCATTTACATTCTAATCTAATTGTAATTAGAAGTACTTCAAATTTCCTTTTTATTAACCCAGTCATTACCTGGTTACAGTTTTCTCATAGCCTCTCAGACTGTTGTCTGCTTTCTACCATCATCGGTCCGGAGGCCTTTCCCAAGTGATGGCTCCTTGCTACCTGCTCCCACACAGCTGCTTGCACAGCAGTGATATAGAGCATCCTCATTCCCAGAAGCCTCCCAAGCACGCAAAGAATCAGTTACTTCTGCAGATACCAGTAAGAAGGGTCCCAAACATCACTGAATTAAATCTGCTGTTTAGACTGTCCATTATTTTTCCTTCTTTCTGTAGTATTTGCTCAGCTCCAGTAGAAAGTGACATGCTGTTTAATTACACACACTCCCACCCTTTTTAATGAAGACATTTTGATCCTGTTTCTGGACTGTGCTCTTGGTAGCTGGCTGTTAGCACAGACGGCAGCTGGGTTCCACCCCAGAAGTCCTCATGGCCTGTGAAGCGCGCCCAACACCTACCATCTGACAAGCTCTTGGATGGCAAAGCAATCACGGGATCTGAACTGGCAGAAGGAGACTTCCTGTCAGCTGGCAGAGGGACATTTCTTCACTGCTTAATCCCTTGGCTCCTCTTTGGGCGTGCACAAAATGCTGACTTTGTCTTCTGAATTTGGAAGAATATAGAGGTAAAACTCAACTCTGGCATTTTGCAGCCGAACAACTAGTACAAGCCTTGCTCAGATCTACAGTCGTCCTCTCCGAGATCACTGGATTCCCATTAATCTTGGGTCCAGTAACTTTCCAGCAAAGCTTTACAGTGCATGTCTATCTCCTCTCAAGGACCCTGCCTTTTGACTAACGCATAGAGCTGAATTTGTTCTTTGATCACAGACGGTTCCCCCCTTAACTCAGGCTGTGCAGACTGCACTGATGAATTCTAACTTAACAGGCTGTAAATTAGTCTGTTTTCCTTCCACAATTCCTCAAACAGACAATCCTAGATCAAATGATGGCAAAGACTGTTTCTGGCATACTCTGAGTTACAAGCCCTCTCTGCCTGTTCTGCCCCCATTTAAGAAACCATTTGCAGGCTTCTGCAAGCCCTCAAAGGCTGGCTCTTTGTGGCTACTCCATTCTGAGATCCAGGAATGGCATTTTTCCATCTGAGTTGCCCCTGACAGAAACATATCTGGTTTAAGCAGAGGGGCAAGAGCTGTGCAAAGTGGCCACCGGACCTAGCAGATTTCCCAGCAACTTCCTGGGTCATCATAAGGATGGAAAAGCAGAAGGGTTGCTGGTGGACTGGACAGCTGTGTTCCTCACTGAAGAACCACTGACTGGCAGCACCCGCGTATTAGGTTACCACAGGCATCAAGAACCTGCTGAGGAGAGGAAGACAGGCAGAACTATGCATCTCAGACTGATTTGATCCTAAGCTGGAAAGAGCTCAGATTCAGGTTTGCCCTTATGAATATCCCAGCTGAATCCTCCCACATGAATCTTATTTATTTAGACTACCTGGTGCCCAAGAGGCACATAACAGTGCTGATCTATCTATGCCCTGTGCTTCCTTCAAGCAACACTATTTCCATGTTTGGATGGAACTGGCCACAAAAAAACCCCAAAAGCAAAACACTAACAAAAATGCAGAAGCCTTAACATTTGTTTTCCTCAGCATCCCAAACCCTACAAAATCTGTGTTAAGTTTTATTTTCAAAATCATTACAAGTGTTGAGTTTGCCTAGCAGGAGGCACACTCACCTGGAATGATGACCCACTTCATTTTAGTCCTTATGCTGCTGGACACTCAACCAGGATTTGGAACATTTGAGGCAAGTTCATTTGTAATGAAGTATATCAAGAGGAAATGATGACTTTCCTTGCCTCCCTCCAACCCTCCCTCATCCAATCCAGAAAAACCTTTCCAGCAAAGCTTTTGTTGAAACAGAAACTTTTCCAGAAACTTTTTCCAGAAAAGTTTTGGTTTCATCTGACTGGCGGTTTACAACTGAAAATACATCATCAAAAAGGTTCCCAACTAGCTCTTGGCTTGGACCCACAGTGACCTCAGCCCCAGCAGATGTTTGGAGGCCATGGTACGGAAAAAGAAACAGAGAGCAAATACACGGACTAGTTGACTGACTGCATGCACCCATGATCAGGATAAGGGAAAGTTGGAGAAGGGTTAAGCTACCGGTTATTTCTTAATTCAGAAGTTCTTGTGAATAAGAAAGCAGAGCAAACATGTCATCTACCACCTCACAAATTCATGACTTCTTAAAAAAGATCCGTCACAAACTCGCCTACTGCACCTCTAGAGCACTATCCCTCAGTTCTTTCCTACATGTTAGTACCTGCTTCCTGCACTGCCCCCTCTACTGCTTTTTAGCCCGCCTTGGTCTTCCTTCCACATAACTTACCCATATATCTTTGATCCTCAAGGCCTACCAGGCCTTTAGTAGGTATGTGGAACTGTATGATAAAACAATGTCAGAGCCCCTTTTTGCACACAATCCTGTCCTCATACAATGGAAGAAACCATGAAAGGTCAAGGCTATGTTCTCAGCAAATAGTTGGGCAATCAGGCACTCACAACAATGTCTTGCTGCTTTCTTTCCCCTTCACATGGGCTCAAAGATTCACATTTTCTTCCTCCTCTCCTTTTTTTTTCCCCCTTCCATAAACTAAATTTTGAACAGTCAGTTGGCCAAGGCAGCAGATTCCAGAGAGCCTATTCCAGGCCAAATAGCAATAAAACTCATTTGGCCTATTCATCTTATTGGGAAGGTAATAAAATTAAGGAACAGGATTGCTATTTTGGTATGTCATTCCTCAGTAAGGTACCAATGACTAAGAAAAAAACTTCTACTGAGCTAGAGAGGCTGAATGTTTCTCACAGCTGACAAGTAATGCAACAGGCTTATTACAATAACTGGGATGTTTGCAAAGCACCTAGAAAATGCAACTTCCCAACACCCAGATGCACTGACTCCATTTCCACTCGTGCTAAACCTGAGGAAAGAACTAAGGAAAGGTTAAGCCTGGAGAAAGCAAGCTACCCACCCTTCCCAACTGGCACAACGGTTATAACAAGAGCTGTCCGCACAGCCAAAACACCTGCACAGGAAATTAGTCCCCTGGAATCTCCCTGTTTGCCTTCTCCTGCCAAGCAAGTCTGCCCACAGTCAAGAATGACTGATAATTATTGAATTTGGGTTGAACAGTTTCAATTCATAAAATTTCCAAAAATATCGGTTTGGTCCAGGTCCCAACAGAAGATGAGGTGAAGATGAAAGAGGAAGAAAAGTAAGGAGGGTGGATTGGTTGCTCAGGCACTAAATAGAAAGGAAAATATGTTATTCATATGGCCTACTTCTCCCCCAATCTTAAAGTGCAATTTAACTCTGAGAAAGGGCAACAGTACAGCCCTACACTTTCTTTCTGAGCTGCTCTCTCTGCGTCATCCACTTTCCTGCATGCTGGATTTAGCAATAAAAATAAATATTATTTCTGTTAGTCAACAGGGTCTCTGGAGAAGGACTGGGTCTGTGCTGCCTCATACATCATCCAACCTACATGGCTGAGACAACAGAATATTGTTAGCAGTGTATTACTCAGAAGGGACCTGATCTGAACTACAGTTTCCAAGGAATTCTACAGTACAAGCAGGGTCCCCGGCAAGGCTCATTGTTTTGCCCTGTTTCTGTATAGTGCTTAGCACAAAGGTCCGTGATAAGGGATAGAAGACAGAGCCACAACACAAATAATGAACTACATTTGCAAGGAAGGGTATTAATCCCACTCATTTTCTCACAGAGACTGGCACTTTTGAATCACCTGGGAGAAAACCAGTTCCTGAGTTCACTGTAACTCCATGTCAAGTCTTTTATTCTCATGCAATGGGGAAGGAAAGGTACCCACCTCCTTCCTTGCTGACTCCCAAGCACCCCTTCAGCTCCTGAAGTGAGATTGACTTGTCCTTGTTGAGGTCACAGTAGTCAGTGAAACGTCGGGCACATTTCTTGGGCTTGGCTTTCTTCTTCACATAACGCTTGAAAGGCTTCAGCTCCCGCTTATTGATGTCATTGCTGCTGTTGTTGTCCAGCTGGCTAAAGTACCAGTGTACCACTCGCTCCTCCAGTGTGTGGCTGGGGTCTGGCTCAGAGAACCTGGAACAGAGGAAGCACAGGCCCCCGACAAGTGGGTGCTCTCACCAACACTGTCAAGCACATGCTGAGGAGCCAGAGCTGCTCGCTGAGTCAGACACACGCCGTGCCATATTGAAAGCAGGCAAAAGACATAGGTCTTACAATCTCCTCCTTTTAGCTAGGCTCTTTTGAGAGAGATGAACTTTTTCTAAAATTGTCCTTTAGTGTTAACAAGTGGTGCCAAGAGACTCCTGGAGACTGATACCCTCAGCAGCTCTGGTTCTCCTCACACCAGTTGCTGAAACTCTGCCTAATCCCAGAAGGATCCCATTTAGAGGGCAAGAGGCAATCTCTATGATCCTTTTGACACTTGGGCTCCCATTCAAGTTACCAGCAGGAGAGCTGCGAGTGTCAGCTGTCACGGTAGTTTCTGTGATAGCAACATCTAGACTTCAGAAAGGGAACAAATTCATTTAATGCAAGACACATTCATTATTGGAAAATGTCCTTGGCAAGATACAACATTCTTGCTGTATCTATTTATATGATCTGAACTCCTGTGTTGTATTTTCAGCATATTTAATGCTTTTCACATGGTTGATTTATACACAAGAATTCCACAGCAGACAAGCACCACAAATCCATTAAAAGCAATACTACAGAACTGGCAACTTCAGTTTGCTTCATTTCTTACTCATCGTGATATTACAAGTTTGACATTATTTGGCTCACATTTTCTTTCTGTGGACAGCAACAAACAATATTCAGAGAGGAGGAGAAGAGGAGCAGGAGGAAAAGTAACAGCTGAAGACGCCCAAACAGAGAATGCTGCCATTCACTGTCAAGCCATCACTGAACAGGCACTGTTATGTCATACCATTTAAGCAGGGTCTGGTGGTCTGCAAAAATAACCTGCAAAAATAATTCTGAAAAAAAAAAAAATAACCAACCCAAAAAACCCCATTCCTCAGTGATACAGAGAACCAGGGAAGAAACTCTTTCTAAAGAATTCTTTAAAAATTGCACTAAGCTAGTCCATCTTTTCTCCATGTGATGAGTGTGCCAACAGAGGAAGCTCAAATGATGCTGAAATGAGGCTCAGACTTGAGCCTTTTTCCTCCCAAGAATAAAGCATTTCGGTGCATGGAAATTAGTGGATAGGTAGTCAGACACGCTACGCTGGCACTGGTTGCTCTGACTTATTCCAGGAGACACCTCCAGCTGCTGCCTAATTCCTTCCCCAGCAGTGAGTGAGGGACAGTTGCATGCTGCAGGCAGCCAGATTCTGGTGTGAGTTTGGGGCATTCTAGCTGATGGGAAAATATGAACCCCGGTACCTTACAAAATGCACTTCAAGACTGTCACCAACCTTGTTTCAGAAACTGGTAGGATATATATTTCAATGGCCACTGAAAATTTCTTTGTTGGGAACTAGAATAGAGAAAATTCTTTTGACCTTCCAGTATGACCAGTTTTGCCTCTAAACCGCAGCTACAGAGCCTAAAAAATAAAGACCCCACACTACTACCGTGGTAATTTAAATCACTAGTGAAGGGGAGCGTACAACATGCAGAAAGCAAGCACTGGAGCTTAGGTAGAGAACACAGATCCCCATTAACCTTCTCTGATAGCTTTTACAAATGAGCATACAATTTAGAAAGGTAGCCCCTCTCCAGAGACATCTGGATCCTTGAAACATGTAAACACACGCAGTAGGGAGAGGCAAATAAACTGCACAACATTTTTCCTAAGGTTTTACTTGAAACTATGTCCTTCGTCATTTAATTCTTAGCTGAGAAGCAGTCTGGCATTCAGTCACAGCATCTGGTCAACGTACAGTGGGATAAACACTGTGGGGGAGGAAGAAGAGCTTGGTAATAAGTTTGGCTTAGTTTTGGGAGCCAAAATACAAGGCAAGCCCCTGGAGCCACCTATGGACAAGCAGAAATTGCAAAAATCTCCCCAGGAAGCTAAGGGAGTGCCCAGATTTTTCAGAGCCTTGAAGCTATATGTGAAGACCAGGATGACAGGAAAGAATAAAAACGCATCCTGTGGCTTGTTTTTATGACATTATGAACACAGTCATTGGCCTCTCTCCCTTTTGGAAATGAGCTGGCTATCATTTGAAGACTAGCATGTTTCCAACAGTCACAGGGAATTTCTGTATTGCAAGAGACAATATTCTACTTTTGCTGAGATAGAGGAACAAAATCTGAGCTTTTGCATGCGAGATTCCCCTTGTCCACACCTTGGCCTGCCCTTTGTTTCCTGAAGGCCCACAACTGGAGAGGCAGAAATGGAGAAAATAGCAGAGCATCTTAGAACCACAGCAGAAAGACAACAGGCAGGAATACAAGCTTCTCTCTATCTGCTGAAGAGACACTCAGAAGCAGGACTTAAAAGCACCTTTTTTTCAGAGGCACACGAAGGAGGAGCTCTTATAAGTTACCAAGAGAGGCCATATAGCTCTCTTCAGCTCTTCCATAAAGAAAATAAGGGAAATCCACAGGCTAGTACAAATACATTGACTCATGAGGTGATGATACATCAATTTTTGCCATTACAAACATGCTGAGAGTTCATGCTGAAAACTGCAGCATGCTAATGGAGCTAAAGGGAGTTAGTTTAACTGCTGTGATTGTAGGAGGACGGAAGATATAGTAATTTCTGAGTTTTTACCACTTCCTATTGGCTGGCTTTGCGGGACTGCAGTTCCTGAGTTAGTTGCCTGCCCTTTCTGATGATCATCCAGAATCCCAGCACAGGAAGGAACCACATCATCTCAGCGCAGCCATATCTTCCTGACTTGTGAAATTATATGATACACTGAAGAAGGCTGAGGTTACAACACCATATCTAACTATCTTGACTTTGACGTCTGCCCATGCAAGACAGTTATGCACCATCGCACCATCCATGAAACATGAATTCATGCAACTTCACAGCACTGCTAAGCCACCTAGCTTTGATGATGTGCCACGACAACAACCATACCTGCCAGGTCAGCTGAAATAAATCTGCGGGCTCTAATTATCCTGCAAGCACAGACTTTACAGGAGTATTCCAGGGGAATTTCCCTCTATTACCTCTCCATTGCTGTTGCAAGAGAAATAAATCAGCCCTCAGATGCAAACTTCATTTGTTGAGCTGCCTCTGTACTCATCCAGAACATAAAGGAATCAGAAAAACCAAGAGAGAACAAAGCTGCCCTGTACATTCTCAACTCCCAGCAAAACAACATCTCTTGCTCTAACACCAGTCACACAAAAATCCACTGAATTCCAGTCTCAGCGCTGTAGCAGCTTGGTAAGACCTAGTAAAGACAGGCATTACAAAAATGCAGACAGCCTTTTTGGTCTTCTCATGTTGACTACATTACTGCTCTACTTACTTTTCTTCCTAATTGTTCCTCTTTAACACTCTATGGCAAAACAATCAATCCTAAAGAATGAGTGCTGGGGAAGCAAAGAGCTCTGTGCAAGCTGATTTTCCAAATCTAACCTGCTATTGCTGGATCACTTCCATACACGAGCCAGCAAGTTTAGCTCCATTATGCAGATTAAGCCCACCCACAGTCCAAAAACGAGGAGAAGCATGGTCTGTCATTAACAGCCTAGGACAGGGAACCTGCTCTCTCAGCTTTCTTACTAATTTGTTGGCATCAAGTATATAGTCTTCTCTAAGTAGGCTTTTGCTCCTCCTCCTGTATAACTTGCTATTAGCTCCCTCATAGGAGGAGAATACTTATTTCTTAGGTGGCTTATGCTTGGAGATACGTGGGTTAAGTACTGTTACTTTTAACAATAATACTTTCCAGTTGAGACATACTTCCACAGAACACCTTCATATCATCTGGTGTAACTGGGGTACAGGGAGAAAGCAAAGAGGCTATGAAAAAACATGGGCATGCATGCACTTTTTGCAGCTGCACGGAATTCTGGTGCAGAGAGAGAAGAATGTGCCCAAATATCAAATAGCTTGAATATGCACTTTGCATGCAGTCTGTAATGCTTTCCAGCCCTTGAGGCCCCTTGCAAGAAGGCAGGAGTTAACTCAGTGGGAAGGAGCAGGGAAGAAGGAGAGATATATAGCATAAAGTACACAAGAGCAGCAAGTGTCAGACATTACTTGCGTACTGAACCGTGTACAGTATGCAATCACATTATCCTCCATAGAACTGTGCTGTCAAAGTGTAATACGCCCCACTAAATTTTACTGAGTAAACTGAAGTCCATTCCTACCAAAGCTGATCCTTTGCTCTCTGAACACTTGCAGCCCCACTGCATCCCACTGCACAGGCTGCACGGACCCACAGTACTGTTGCAGTGACAGAAAATCCTAATACAAAATACCGCTTTGAGAGAAAGCAAGGTTGCAATCTCTGAAGTACTCAGCAGATGATTATCTGTTTGAAGACCTTTAGAACAAACTTTATGTAGCAACAATAGCGGCTGAGGGAGAGGAAAGGGGAGTAAGACCAGCCTAACATCACCTAACTCTAGACTGCAAACAGACTATAAACCAGAGGGAGCTGTTCCGGGATGAAAGAACACTGATGACAAGAAGCTGCTAGCTGAAGCAAGAGTAGAAAAAAAATTAGTCCAGCTTCCACTCCTAACTCACAAGGTATGTTTGTGGTCAGGATGTCTACAGGACTTGAAGCTGTAAGTTCCTATGACTTGAAAATATTTTTCAAGGATATATACTTTGCTTGCTGCTGTCAATGAACAAAGGACGGATGAGAGTGAAGCTAAAGAAATGATAGGACTGACCCTGCCAGCCAATGCCCATGGCAGCATTCATGATGTCCAGCAAGGTGCCTGGGGGAGCAGTGGAAAGCGGTAACAGTTCAACAAGCTGAGGTAAAATTCAGAATTGTTCTTACTCTGCCTCCACTTCTTACAGTCCTTTTGTTTTTCTTTGTGGTTGTCTAGTCTATAAAAGCTGTAACAGTGGAACATGGCTTGAATCAAAGAGGATTACTCTAATGGAACTGCAAAAGGATCATGTATTTGTTTTATTATTCTCCCTTTCCTGTAGCCAAAGAATCAAGAAGCCAACAGAAAACTAAGCTGTGTTCAGACTAAACAAAAGGGTACTATACAGTCCAAATTCATTACAGGGAATGCATAATTCATCTACAGTTAAAACTTAAGTTATCTTCCTATTACAGGCCCAGTTTCTTCCTCTCCTCCAGCTAAGTTGTGTATGAAACATTATTCTGGACACACTTTTCTGAGGACTGTGGGATAAATCATTTAGAAGGTTTTAAAATCACCTCCCTTCACTCCTCATTGACTGTTCAAAGAACCTCCTCTTACATGAACTCTCCTGTATCTTTAATTAGGCTAGAATTTCCATAGGAGCACAAAGAGAAGTTGGTATCCAACTTCAATTGAAATGCAATAGGAGTTGGGCATTAACTTCCTTGCGCTGTTTGAAAGTGTCAATCTTTATTAAAACATGGCTTGGCTTCAGAACACCCTGGAGATGTGCTGAGCTGTGCTTGCCTGCTTCAAACTGCGCAACTAGAGCATGAAAGGGGACCTCGGGGCCAATTTTTTGAAGTACTTTTCAGGGCTATTACATGGGGAATAATTGGCAACTTAAAATGAAGGGACACAGCTGCTGTGTTACATGATAAGGGTGGCTGTTGTAAGATGCCCTTTTAACCCAAAATTCCACAGGGCATTAATATTTTTGCTGATACTGTAGCAATCCTTAGTGTACGCATTGTGGCAACTAAAATTCATTTCTGAATTGGCAGGGACTGAAGAGAGTTTCTCAGATCAGGGAAACCCAGGCCGGGATCCCCTTTGGTCTATTTTAGCTTTGACCCTGTGTGATATTAATATGTCCAAATTAGAAAATAGACTAAAATGCACTAAAGCAAAGTCTGAATTTTAAAAAGTGCTGTTCCTATTATATAGGATTTATATGTGAACAATTTCAACTATGTGTCTTTTCAAAAAAGATACCAAACACTGGTTAATAAACCAATTTCCTACAAGCGCTCCCTTAATTACTGTGAAAACATACAGTAACAAGATGTGCCTTGGAGTTATTACATAAACTTAAAATTAAGAATGAACTTTACCAGAGATTTTCTGTTTCAAAAGTCTAAATGAAGTCTGCTTGGCTATTTTGCTGTAATATAAACCAGGGCCACGAGGAAGGGAAGTTCTCATCTCATTTACATTATTGTAAAGCAAGAGTAACTCAATTAAAGTCAATAGCTTTGAACTTGCTTAAACGAGACAAGACCTATAAGGGATTACAAGGTTGTTTTAAGCATGCCCAATAAAAAAAAGTCTTATCAGGTTTTACTTACATGGCCTGCAGCAATCCAAGTTGTACAGCCTCACTTTGCTGCTACTAGATTGTTTTTGTGTGTCCAAGTATGAAGTGTGCAGTTTAGCACAGCTCTATGTAGTATTCTAAATGCAGATCTCTATTTCTCCCCATGCTCCTCCCTTCCCCCCCCTCAAAACAGGTTTATATGGACATTAATTGCAAAGCCAGATACCTTTGCAGCATAAATAGGTAAAGTCTTCAAGATGAAGACACTCAGAAAATGCAAGTTTTCACACCACATATCCAGATTCAGACTGAAGGCTGCGGGGTCATCTATGATTTCCTGTATATCACACTGACAGAATGTGAATCAAATTACTCTTAGGACCATAACTCGGGTTTGACCAAAACAAGTCTTTCTGAAAGGCATCAGGCCTAAGATGAAAGCCTTGGAGAGAGGAAATCTGTCACCTCCCTCATGACTTCATTCGGCCTTAGAATTGCCCTCACTTTAAAGAAATTTTGGTCACAAGTTTGTTTATATTCAGCTAATCATGTTCTTCCCCACTAGACTAAAGAGCCTGCAGAGCTTTTGTCCCTGTGGAGATACTCAGACTATACAAAATCACCTTTCAACCTTTTTTTTTTTCCTTTAATACCCTGAGGAAGGCTGAGCTCCTTAAGATTCTCACTCTTAGGCTTTTTCAGCCCTTGACACTTCGGAAAGGCTCTTCTCTGCATTTGATCCCATATTTTAATGTTGATACTAAAGATGCATATTGTATACCAGTATCATCTTTCTGCCACGGAGAAACAGGAATACTCCCCCCCTTCCCTAAAAACCCTACTTGCTACTTCTCTGATTGATTAAAATACATAGGACAATACATGGGGCCAACTGACATGGGGGTACAGCTTGCTGTTTGCCTGGCCTGCCCTCTGCAACAGGCATAAGCTTTGCTGGTGATATGTTAAAAATTTACCTTAGATCATTGGATGCATTGTTCAAACTCTAAAAAAGGCCCAGGAGGATGAAATACTGAACACTGTAAAGGAACAGAAAGAGGGAGGCTACAGAGGGAACCAGTGTATGTTTAAATACAGAACCTGTTCTGCCATCATGATGGCAAAGATGGAGAATAGCCTGCAATAAGTGAAGCTTCTGTCACAAATAAGAAAACTGACATTAAGACATTAAAACTGACATTAAGAAAAATCAGATAGCCAGATCTCTAGCTTTTCTTTTCAACATGACATTCTCAGCAAACCTGGGCCAGGGAGATACAGGATAAGTAAGCACTGTCATAAATCCAGTATTTTGTTAGTTTTTAAGGCTGGAAATTATTAACCCAATAGGTAAACTATCCCTTCATCTTGGAAAAGAGCTCTCATTTCCACTGCCAAAGTCAACTTAGGTCATCCAGACAATTTCGGATATTCCTGAAGAGAGGGCTCAGGACGTTCCTCCCCTTGGGAAACTTGGAAGGCAGGACTCATTGCACAGAGACAGCTTCCCGACTCTGCAAACTCATATGAAATGAAAGCTGTACTGATTCAATTTTTATATAAGTACGAAAAATTCCTTGAAATTTTCTTTTTTTTTTTTTCAAAATAAATGGTCCCATCGTGGCATGGTGGGATGGAAAAGCTTGATGCATGTTCTTTGGGGTATGCACTTAGCCTAGCTGATGCACATGGACGTTTATGCCAGAGCAGCTTCCTGAATTTAATCGTGGCTGTGGGCAGGCAGAGTATTTGGGTGGCAGCAGTCTTTTCCCTTACAAAGGACAGGCTGCTAAAAGATTTCTTTTTTCCCCTTGCAACTGGGCTGCCGACACCGGAGCTGAAAATAAATCAACATGACGACTGTGTGAAGAGCTGGGCAGTGAAAAATTCTACCAGAAAGGCGTCTATTGAAAGCTGAGAAATACACAAAGCCTGGGGAACATTAGGAAGCAAGCCTGCTGGTTTATAGAAGTGCAGTGGGGGCATACATCTCTGGTCTCTACAATATTGGTTTATATTAAGCTTTATTTTAAGAGTGATGATTACATTGGCTGCGTTTCAGTCCCTGTGCCAAAGATGCCAAATAAATATCAAATACTCTCCAGGGCTTCCCACCACCCCTACCCACTGCATTTGAACCATGCAAATTAGACAGAATTGACATTGGAATGCTTATGGCTGGGAGAGAACGACGTACTTCCCATCCTTGGGGCATTTTTCATCTTGTTTATATGAATACAGACATGCTAGGCGTATACTGCTAATTCAATGGGTTACAGAATATTCAGTGTGCAGGCAGTCAGCCACTAGCCTGATTTGTAAGGTCCAAATGCAAAGTTAAAACCATATGGGTTCACAAGCAATCCATACTGAAACCAAGAGGCACAGAGGTGCCACCCAGGAAGCTTTTTGTCTTGAGTAGTTAAAGATGGCACTGCTTCCTTCCACATTTTGAAAAGGAAAGCAGGGGATCAACATCACTGCCAATACGTTGGAGCAATACCCATGGAAGTAACACATGCACAGAGGCACCTCCTTCATCTCTACACCCCTATGAACAAGAGCACAGTATTCGTTGTGGCATTCCTGCA